GGAATTCTGCGAAATGTGTGATGTTGGGATGAAAGAGAGAGTACGGTTGTCACGAACGAGATAACTGAACGTGTGAGGGGTTATCAAGCCACCAACAGCACGTATGAGGGGATGTTATGCTTCCAAGAGTTTAGTTGCCAATCGTGCAACGAAAAGAGTATAAGGGGTTTTTATCCCACCAAAAGCATAACAAGAAATAAGATTGATGCGCAACATTGTCTGTGGGACTACCACGTCACCACCGACACAACAGCAAAGCGTGGACATCATTGCGCATTTGAAGGAAGTCAGAATTCTTGACGCAAGCACGTAGGATTTCATGGCAAGTTTGTAGGAGATGTTGGGTAGAATTTCGCTGGAGAGAACAGCAATATGCGTGGCAGGACCTCGGCGAAAAGCGACACTTGACCCAAGACTGACGTTTGTTTTCCGACTAGATCGCAGAGAAAAATAGTCAGAGGCATCACTCAGCCAAGAAGCGAGGTTGACCCAGAAACTAAATTCCCGACTAAATCGTAGAGGACAGTAGTAAGAGCCAGTACTCAGCATAACGCGGAGCAAGTTCCACCAAATGCGTTCCTCCGAAGAAATCACTCAAGACCATTTCAGTGGCAGAACACGAACTTTGAAGTTACACGGCGTGAGCAGAAGAGAAATTCTGGATGTCCAACTGTATTTTATTTTGTTTTGGTACAGCAGTCACCCCTGTGCAGAACCGGGGGGAGTGTTGTGGAATGTGATTCTCCTCAGGAGTGCTGTTTTATAAGGAACTGATTGTGCCACCATCTTCCCTTCCGAACGCGCGACCTGCCCTCCACCGCTGCCGAGTCAATCCTTCTGGAGCGACAATTGTGGTCTCCCCCAACGAAGGCGGACGATTTACTGACGATGCTCCAGCCGCGGCCAGTCGGACGAAGAGCACAGAAGGCGACCGCGGCGGAGGCGAGCGAAAATCCGAGGGGGAGAAACAATGGCAGGGGCAGTGGTCCAATGCGCTGGGGTTTATGGCTGGAGAAGTAGGCGCATTGATGTTCATTATGAGTTTGATTTAGTTTGAGATTTGGCGTTTGTGTTGTATGATTCAAGCCTGGGTTTGGTTTTTTAGATGTGATTGAAGTGTGGATGAGAGGATCAGAAGTACTGTTTTGATTTTCGGCACCTCTCGTATTGTTTTCGGCTTGACTCCGACCCCTTCACAAAGCAGGGGGGCGGATCCTCGGAGCAGGGGGGCACGTTATGTTATTTCAAATGAAATGGCGTTGCTGACATTTCTTCACCGAACATTAATGATATATTTTGAGTATTTCAGCAGATAGTACTTCTTCGCGTTTTACCTGCGGACGAAGGTTTGGTGGATGAATGGAATAATTTGTCTTAGGATTGTATACATCGTNGAAACGAAATGGCGTTGCTGACATATGCTTCACATATATTTTGAGTATTTCAGGGAGATAGTACTTCTTCGCGTTTTACCTGCGGACGAACGTTTGGTGGATGAATGGAATAATTTGTCTTAGGATTGCATACATCTTGGTAATGGTAGGATATCTAGCTAGGCAGATTTAGAGACGCACCGAGATATCGTGACGAATTGGCGGTGAAAGGAAGGCGTCTTTGAACGGCGTTCGTCATATTTTTCTGGATGAAAAGAGTTTGAGTTGAGAATTTTCAGAAGAGAGCGAGAGTGATAGGTGTGTGTTGGTATGCAATTTCGATACTTTTGTCGTGTCTGAAGTATTTTCGTTTTCTTGGTTTTGATTGTGTTTTGGGATGAACTGGCATGAGAAGGATGACTGACTTTGATATTTTCCCGGAGCATGACGATGCATACGAGCAGGGGGGCTATTCGATATACTCGTAGCATAGCATGCGGGCGGTATACTGCGTATACATATGCTGGTAGTGCAGTGACGAACTACGGAGGAACAAGAAGCTTCTTTATGTTTTCCTTGGGAGTGTGGTAGATTGGTGGACAT